GCTTGTTTAACTAATTAACTTGGGAAGTATTTGTTTGACAATTAATGTCTTTAGACGATTTATCTTCAAAACAAACCATAAGAACCTTTAGCATTTGAAAAATTAGTTCTTTGATTATGGCCAAGTCAAGACAAACCAGCGCTTTCCTTAACAAAAATTACACTAGGATATTCGTTTGTCTTATACCTTTTTAATATAACCTTATGTTTTACTTATATGATTCATAAAACGTAAATGACTGCTCCCTTTGATCTTTCTTTTTTCTTAGGAAGTCCAAATAGACAACAGCTCCTAACAGATCGTTATCAATGAAACCAATGATAGCTTTCCTTCTCTTCCTTCTATACGTTTCCGGGGTTGTCAAGGCCGCAACATCTCTGGTAGAGGAGGATTTGGTAAAGAATCATCGACCCGCTTTCCGGTTCGAAGCATCGGGAAGAAGATTTCCATATTGGCGCTCCTTCCCAGATGAATTTGACTTCTCTGGACCTGAGACCGAACTACAAGGCAAGGCTTTTCCCGGCTCCGATGGTTACAATGCGCCCTCCCGGAAACGTGGAGCATACTTTGATATGCCATGGGGCTAGTCACCACAGCTTACATACCTCCTGTTTTTATGTTACTTTACAAGTCTACTAAAAATGTTCTTCGGGTTATGTCACTTATTGTAAATTCCGCTTGTACACCGAGATACAAAGTAGAAAAACAAGTAAATATGCGTTCATGTTCATTACATTACTTCTTTCAATACGAGGGGGTACATTAAACTAATGTTTCGTGAGCAGTACCTCAAAGACCCTCATACAATATCATTAATTCTGCGATTCAACCAAAAATTCCTCTTTTACATATGCCTTTTAGTATAGTTTCATTTACAGGTATGTTTGAATGCAAAATAATAGATTGCCAGGCTTCGCCGTCCTCGATAAACCGTCGAGTTAAGATATCTTATCCAAATAAATGTTACGACTTGCTTATTAACTATTTTTATGGAAAACTAAAATGCTTGTATTAACAGTAATAACAATAATGATGTAATTGCATACAGATCAAGCGGCCAACACACCTGAAACTGATCAATAACTGTAGTTCCTTGAATTGACCAATATATTGAGAGTCAGAAGAAGATGCGATCACTGGAACAAGGACTTTATTTTCCTGACGTTTCGGAAGAAGAAGATGCGATCACTGGAACAAGGGCTTTATTTTCCTGACGTTTCGGATACCCTCGGGAATCCTTAATCAAAAGTGATGAAAACACGGTCATGGTCATGCGCAGATAGGGTCTATCTACATTGAAAGTCGTTCTTCTAAACGTATTCGTTTGTGTAGGTTGGTCTGTGAAACCTTAAAGAATTTTCCTTAGAATAAGTGTGACTCATGCTAGTTGGGAACGTTCGGCCATAGAGTTTTCATGCGTTTAGCTGTTTCTCTTAGGCTGAGCAACGCTACAGAAAACTCTTCATCTTTTCTATAGTTTATACGCAGGGAGCAAAAATGATTATCCTAAAAGTGGTTGTCTGTTTAAATTAAAATCAGTGTGTAAATTAATCGCTCTAAAATTGAAAAACTTCGTCTGTGTATTTTGTGAAATAGTCCCACACGCAGCTAACGAGTAAAGTGTCTGAGAGAAAGAGGGTATTAGGGTAGTGGTCTGTGCCGGTATTTGCCAACTTCTACTTACATGCAAAAGGCAGATGCCTGCTGAAGTAACGATCTTAAACAGCAAGTTAAAAGGGCTTCCTGGTAAGGCTTATTT